CATAAGCAGTGGCGATCCAGCTAGTTCAACTTCATGCTTCTGTCTTGCAGTTTCAAAGAACTCAACTGATAAAAACTATATCACTTGTATGAACTTGTTAGCTTGGTGTCAGCTATGTTTGTACTTGGAAATCTCGAGTATCACGAACGGACTAGGAGTACAAGTTCATTGATGAACAGTGCGCCTTGATTTGATGCGTATGCCCTCTATCAGACCAGGGCCAGCAGGGCTCGGCCTGCATGGCACCACAGCCTTAGTTGCTGGGACCCTCAGCGCGCCCGCAGCAGCCACGCGTTGGGGTTTGGGCCGTCCATGCAGATGTGATGCGTGCGTGCGCCATACCTCCCACAGCGTTTTCTTTAGGAAATGAAGTGGCCTCAACTAGCAAGACCTGATGCTCAGATCGGGAGACTTTGGGTCACAATGTTCCATGAGCTGCCCATGCGATCCGTTGACATCCCTGCGATCGCCTCTACCAGCCTTAGATTTGAAGAGAATACCATTTGGCACATCGAGTCAGTCTGTGGATTGTTCATGATTTTTCCATGCCGCTTCCCTTGAGGTCTCTTCGGACAAGCTCTTTGCTGTCTGTGGCCATGAGCAAAAAGCCGAACGCCTCTTGGCCACTTTGGGTGACATTTAGACGAAACCAAGACTATGGTGCCCAGGGAGTTGTGAGTCATGCAGTCGCCAGGGTGGTGCTTTTATGCGTTTCAAACGCTCCTTTGCTTTTGGATGGACAGCTTCATTTGCACATTGGCTATATGCGCAAGTTGCACACGCACGAGAGAGAGAGAGAGGGAAGAAAAAAGAGTTCTTTGTGCAGTGAGATTTTGATGAAAGCATTGCTTAGCCTTGGCCAAACGGACAAGCACACTGCCAATTGCGGTTGGGGAAGGTGAGAACATCCTCGACCCGGAACCTTCCACTCTCCATCCTTGTTTGCTTTCCATGTTCTCTGTGGCTATCTCATGAAGCCCGGCACCTTCGATGGCCAACTAGCAGGCTTGTGTGACCTACCAGCCCTGGGTGCAGCAGCGGCCTGTGTCGAGGAGGGTTGGGCACTCGGCGGGTCCTGTGGGCCCAAATCCGAAACGTCACCAGCTTGCAGGCACCTAGTGGACTTCCTATACAGCATGTGTGTCAGTATATATGTGCAACGTGCAACAGTGCAGTCAGCATTCTTTGGGGTTGGTGTCCCTAGTGCCAATGAACTGGGCTGAAAAGAAGGCAGAGTGAAACTGACGGAGTACAGAAGTTGAAAAATCTGCTTGTGGCTGTGCCATCTCTGCAGGTGGAGCAACCCAGATTGCTAAGTTGTGTGTTAGGACATACCTCGAAGAAGTGCCACAGAGCATGTTATATACTGTAATTGATATTCGCGCCCTCATCCATGTGGAGAGAGAGAGAGAGAGTGAGAGCGAGGGAGAGAACATAAGAGAAGCCTACCGAGAAAGGCACCACCCAAGCAGACGGTGTTAGTTCAAACCGGAAGGTGTCACCTTCAGCGGTCCACTCTCTCTCTCTCTCTCATTTTCAGATCCTCATTTTGCTGCAGCCCTGCTGCGGGTGGATTTGGGTGGCCTTCCCCCCTTGTACACGCACAGCAGCGCGTCTGTGCGTGTGCGTGTACGCGCTGCAAAGCCGCAAAGCACTAAATTCCCCGAACAAATCATCTCTGACAAACCTCTGAATCCTTTGATAATTAAGCTGCTCTACCAGATCCCAAAGAAAAGGTGATCGCGTACACAGACACACACACACACACACACCGCACATTTGGCCCATAGCAGATCCGACAGACTTTGCTGCCAAGGCGCCGCCATCCTGATGGCTTGCTGCTACGCCTTTGATGCAGGAGGCGAACTTTTGAGGCTTGAAATCAGTGGGGCTGGGAGATCGGACTCGAATGGAAGGAGAATTCAGATGAGTTCCATCCCGAGAATTGACTCGTGGCGTTCTTGTTTGTTGGGGTCACTCGGCGCTCATCCCGAGTGGTCTTGTCGGGTATGATATGCACTTGTACTATTATGTACTGTACTAGGTGCATATATACATGTATATGTATATGATATATTTACGGTATATGTATATATATTGTGCTTATTTTAACTTTTTGCAAGTTTGGTTGTTGATGTTGGCAATTCCTTTGGACGTCAAGGTTTGGGCCCCAATGCCCGAGGCAGAGTCCACTGAGATTAAACAGGAATGAAAGAATCAACCAAACAAATGGTTTTGCACACCACAGCTTGCAGTCTGATCTGACGTGTTCTCAACCAATGCACTGGAGCCACGAACGATGAGTTGCAGTCAACTACAGTAGAACGAGTCCGTGTCCGAGGGCACCGAGGCCAGGCCAACGAAAAACATCGTATGTTCTGATCCGGGGCATGCGCTCCGGAGGTGCAAACGCATTTTGCAAAGTGTTCTTTCAATAATCTAGCCCAGACGCTCCATGTATGCCATATATGCCTACATTGGGGTGGTTTGGGGGGTCAATGTAGGCATATATATGGCACACATGGAGTGTTTGGGTAGCTGTCCAGCTATAGTGGTGAAGGTGAGAGGCCGTTGGTTTCAGCCTGCCCACCTGGCTAGGCTGTCCTGGCCCATGGAAATGCAGATCACAGACCGAGATCAGGAGCCGCCAGAGTCCACAAGTGTTGATGGTTGGGTTGAAGCGAATTGATCTCAGAGGTGGAGGATCATCAATCATCAGAGATGTTTGCAGCACGCCCCACCGGCAGAATGATCATTGGCAATTGAAGGTGCCAGCAGCCCTTTGGAGAGTATATATGCTGTATTATACACTGTATATGTATGTTTATTTCTATATTTAATATATCTATACACACGTTTCTCCTTTGCAGTGGTGCAGAGACATGGACGATGGACATCAATGGTCTTGTCAATCAATCAAACGATGTTCTACAGGTCCTGGACGTGGTCCTGGACCGCCCCATCTCCTGGACCGCCCCAGACACCATCTTTGGCACCGTTGGATCCGTGTAAGATCCAAGTCAGGGATGTTCCACTGAGTCAAGAAGCACCTCGAATCGGCCTTTTTGAGAGTTTGAGGGGATTTGGGTTTTGTATGTGAAGAGGGGGTGGAAAAGGATCAGCACACCTTTAAAATGTTGAACTGATGGTGAGCGGAAAGCAGCCGGAAGGGGTTGGCCTTGAAGCCGGAAGTGCCACATTGGCCTGTGCCGCAAGGACTCCGCACCGCCTCAGGGATTGCCATGCCCTGAGTAATTTTCTGAGAAAGGGAAGAGGCCAACAAGAGAACAATTATATATCTACATTAAGTTATCTAATTATATACTTTGTTCTTGGAAACTGAGATCACAGTTGTATGCCCTATGTTATTTCTTCACCAGCAGGCACTTGGTTTCATCGCCTCACACCGATATCAAAACAAACTATCTATCTATCTATCTATCTATCTATCTATCTATCTATCTATCTCTATATATATATACACCTTACACACCCGATGATTCAATGATGGGTCATCTACTCAGCAAGACGGGTCCAGACAAACCGCTTCGGGGCGAGGGGTCGACCAATTAGCAGCTAGGTGTTGGTGGCATGGCTGGGAATTGTCATTGCGGGAGTTTCTCGGCCGTCAGGTCTACTTTCCTGCAAGATTTGGAGGCACAGACAACAGATGGGACACATCAGGTTTGTCCGTGTATCCAGCAATTACTTACTTCGGTTGACACACACACACATATACTGCACATAGATCATCATAATAGATATTTATATTATGCACATCATTCAGCCCGTCTAGAAACGATGTTGTGCGAGACGTTCCTTTTTAGTAGGATATGCAAGCGTGGTCTTAGAACAGTTTGAGCAATTGGTCATGTCATTTTGTGCGGCTGAGGTATATCAAGATGTATCATGATGTATCCATCAGTCCAAGTGTATCGCCTCAAAATGATGGACTCTAACATGTGATTGCCAGCGCCAGAAAGCAGATGGGCCAAGGAGAACTCCCATGAATCAGTAATTTGACGGGCCTGCTGCACGGGAAGGAGTTGGCCATCTACTTTCGCATGTGTAGACCAGCAGGCCAAAACAACCTATTATAATTAGAAGCCCAAATTAACCTATTCAATCCATTTGATAACATTTGTCTCGCGCCAAGCTGGGGCAGATCACCATCTTAACCGGAGGTTCTGGGAGGATGTTCCTACCAAAGAGATTGACAAACCATCTCAAACATATCATATAACATCCTGTTTACCATACATATCTTAAGATGTCACTCCTTGGAATGTCACCGTGTCACCCTTGCAGGCTAAAGAAAACAACGGGCGCTGTTCATGGAACACCGGTAATGACGCACCGTTTCCTCCACTGTCAGTCCAGGACTCAGCGTCCGCTCGGGAAGCGCCCGCAGATCCGCCGATTTGCCCGGGGAGCCAAGAGCCGTTGCCGGGGGAGGAGGCGATGGCCATGGGCCAATGGAGCTTCAGTGTTTGACACTGAAACGAAGGTTGGGGTAGGGTGGTTTGGTGGGTCAGTCACTACCTTCGAGAAGGATGCGGTAGTGAGCTCAAAGGGGTGTGTGGATGCACCTCGCAGCATGGCCGGAGAACGTCGCAGACCAGACCATCAGCTGTCCTTGCAGCATTGGCTCCAATGGGCTTGGTGAAGACTGAAGGAAATAGGAACGGTATGAAACGTCCATGTCTTCTCATGACAAAGATGTTGAAGCTTGTGAAGTCTTAAAGTCTTAGGTTTTGATAATGCAAGAGGCACTCATAAGACAGATGAGCCTGGTTGAATTTCCAACTGCCGGCGAGGGGCTAGAGCTTGCAAGCAACTACTGAAACTGTGCCCTCAGACCCGCAGACGGATGAAACCAGAACAAGTGCAAACGAAGCAGACTTCTATGTATAACAATGTATAACATATGGGACAACTTTTGTGAAAAGCATTTTCTCCCAGCATCTCCAGCTGTTCATAGTTCCAACGAACTCCGTCAAGCTAGGTGTGCATGACCGTGTGTCACTCAGTGCCACCCCGCTGACAGCAGATGCATGCAGATGGTATGGCAAGGGCCTGGCAGCCGGCAGGCGTAGAGAGACGGCTGTTTTGACCTCTACGAGCACACACTCCCTAAGAACTCATGGCTCAATCTGTCAACTGGCTATGTGGAGCAAAACCCTCTACTGTATGTTCATATAATGTCCTATCTAAACCATCACCTGGGATTGGAGTTGAGAGTCTTAGGGGTTACATGCTGAGCCCGGTGTGCAGCTCCTGGTATATCGTTCTGTGCTCTCCCCGAAATGAGGCGTTTCACTGGAGATGTGCGATGACTCCCGGCCTGCAACTAGAGGCAAAAAGACGATCCACAGTTCAAGTAGGCCGGGCTAGTAGATGAATTAAAATGTAGTAATTACACATGTACAACAGTCTAATTATATAGTATATAATAATGATAATATTAATAGAAATAATATATAGGTATATATATATAGATGGATATATAAAGCTTTGTTGTGGCATTTGCATACTTGTGCGTGTCATTCATCAGCTGTGGGATTTGGCGACTGCTCCAAGCTCTTTACAGTAGCCAGAGAACATGTCCCCACCCGATGGATCAAACGATGTGTATCCTCCCTACAAAGGGACAAATCCTCCCATTCATGTCGAAGTCTGGGAGGCCCCGTGATGTGTTTCCGTCCTTTTCGTGCCACCGCTGGGCGGTTCGTCCCAGCCGCGTGTTCCGAGGGTCGTGACGGGCCTGGGCGCCGTACTGTTTCCGCCATGTTGGATGGGGCACCGTCCTGGATGGAGGCCGCACAGGCGCTGTTTCAGCGCAGCGCGCGCAGCGCAGACGGTCCGAAGGACGGGTGAACATCGGGCAGATCGTTCCGTTGAGAGTTTAGAGTAATGTGGACGTAGGATTAAGCACCCCCCCCTCAAGATCAACAAGGTTTGAGATTGAAGGTATTGGAGACCACATCCCCCTAATTGATAAGGTTAAGGTTATATAAGGTGATGACCTGATGATGGATGATGCTTGATCGGATTCAGTGTGACCCATGAGAGTTTGATCCATGAGAGCCATGAGAGCTTGGCATATTGGCACAAGTGTGAGGAGTATGAGGAGAGCGATGCTCAGATTTGGATGAGAAGGGAGCTGAATGAGGAAACCATTGCAGTCAATTTCATGAGACTATTGGGAATCCATTTGGTGATGATTTAATTGATTGAGGTCATTTGTACAAGGAAGAGGGAAAGGATTGCAGGATGAAAAAGGTGGAAGACAGAAAATGAAGGCCAAGGAGTGGGCTTGATCAATAGGAGCAGGCCCACTATTGGGGGAGGTAGGGCCTGTGTGAGGGGTGCCCTTTCTGAGCTTGAAAACCTTAAGACTTTGATAGAGCTTTATTTAAGGGAACTACTACATATATGTGTTCGATAGTTTTTTGGTAATGTGGAAGGATGCTTCGTGGGAGCACATTGGCAATCGGAATGGTTGGTGGCGTGGGCCGGTTGGGTGAATCGGAATACTTTCTCTCAAGAGATGGTATGCGAGAAGGGTGGGTCAGAAGATCACCTTCACCATGGATCAGCTTCACCAATTGGATGAGTTTCACCATGGGAAGATATTGGCTGCCACCACTTCAGGAAGAAAGAGAGATAACTTAACAATATACCAATTACCAATGAACTACTTTTCAATTTTCTTTGGCAGATGGCCTTGATTCAGAGGGGAGGTTTTTGCAAAGGGATATTTTTAGGGGAACTTAGGCTTTAGATTGGTTTACCATCGGGGGCTCGAGATGGGCTTGGTTAACACTGGGAGGTTACCTAATCCTAGGTGTGCATATTGCAGGTGATTGCAGGTGTACGATTGCATTGGGCTCATTAAGCAAAGACTGGGATGTTCGTGGTAGGATTTTAGCTGATGGGAGGTTCATCCTTTTGTTACTTTGCGGTTTTGAGTAAGTCCTTTGTACCGTGCTGGCTGACATTGACCTTGTGACCATTCTAATTGTCAGGGGGGAGGTGGAGGTGCTGGTATTGCAGCAACTATGGTGGAGGAGTCGGGGGTACAAATTTTGGAATTGTATGATGTCATGTTACCACATTCTGGAATGTTCAACGTGCATAGATGTTCAGCGGACGAGGTTCACTTACTCTTTCGTGGCAGCCACCCCTTGGTTGCAGGCAGAGTTTTGCCGCACATGCAATTCCGCGTTTGAAGGCTGGACCTGCTGTGATGAGATACTTCCTGAAACCGACATGGACCCTGAATATGGACTCCAGGAAGGTAAATTGCATGTCAAGCAGTGCTTTAGGGCCTACCTTTGCCTGGGGGCAATGATCCTGGCGATCATGCATGCACTTTGTATATGCACAATTGAAACACAGGCTTGCCGCTCAGTCCGGTGGGTTCTGCCCAGTCAGAGGGTTCTGCGCACAGGTGTCTTCTAGCGCGGAAACTGCGAAGCCAGCCTGGACGATGGCCAGGTGCACAATCCCGAACTTGGAACACTTGGGGGACGCAGTTTGCCCTGTGTAAAATCATGCAACATGTTTAGATAATCTTCGCAAGATCTTCGACCCACAGTTCTTTGTGAAAACTGAATTGGGGGCCGAATGTCTCAATCACTCGAGGCATCGTCTTTTTGGCACAGGGCATCGCTACTAGGAGCAAGAAGCTACTAGTAGCTCCTGGCATTACTACTAGTAAGAAGAAGCTACTGGTAACAAAGCGCATCGCTATATACTAGGAGCAAGAAACTAGTTGGAATCCCTTTCGTTCGCTGCTGCGGGCCTTCGGCGTTTTTGTTCGCTGCAAGGCTGAGTGAGCTTTGCCGCGAGCAGGGCTGTAGCTCTGTGCTCAAGAGCCACGGGGTAGCGGTGATGCCTGGAGCCTTTGAGGTGCTCCGTGGGTTTGAAGCCAGGGTTTGGTCGGAGGGGTTGGGCTGGAGGAGATGGAGGATGAAGATTTTGAGGAGTAGGAGTGGGTGATGTCAAGCCATGGGTTGATTCCGAGCATCATTGGAAGTGGACCAGTATCAAACAAACGTTTGGTTTTGGATGGATGTTTGAGAAGCCCAACTCTGGTACTGCCAGGGCGAAATGCTGGAGGGCTTGCTAGATGCCTTTCTAGGCCAGGAGGGCCAGGATTGAGGAAACTAACTGCAAACACTTTTGGACCAGCGGCACTTGTTCAAAAATGCAAGGAGACTAGGATCCAAAAAGAGAGAGAGAGAGAGAGAGAGCGAGAGCTTTGATCATTTGGCAAGCGGCACGTGCCCTGCTTGATTATCTCGCTGGCCTCCCGGACACTGAATGTTTGATTGGAATGTGCACTTGGCCACTTCCTGGGCCGGCCAAATTGATAAACTGTTGTAGGTTTGATGCGCTTAGCTTACCGCTTACTTTTGACGTACTAGCCTCCTATCATTTCTTCCATATTGTCCAGGCATGGAAGTCGAGATGCTGCATGTGTCCAAGCTGCACCCTTGAACACCGCATGTGGCCTAATGACCTAATGAGTGGTACTAGGTACAGTATTTTTGCCCAGTTCCTCTCTGCAAACGATGCAACTATCAGAAATCAACATGAACAGTATGGATTGGGTGTCGGGTCACGACCTTTGTTCGCTTTTTTAGCCACCCAAGGACATGCGCTTCGGAGACCTACGAGTGGCCCGGACGCCATACCATTTGCCCTACAAGGAGAAGCTCCAGATCGCAGCCCTTGCGAGATTGGACTTCCATAATCAACCGATATCAACCGACATGTGTCACGGCGAAGGGTGATGCGCTTCTTTAAAAATGCAGGTGTTCAAGAGTATTCGATGGGCAGTGTTCGCTACGTATCGCTACGTGATGGGTCAGCGTTGGCGAAACGGTGATGGGTCTGACCCGCTTCCAGTTGTTGCGCCTCTCGCCGCTCGATGCTAGATGTTGTTAGTACGAATTGTGGCGGCCTGCCGCATTGAGGGGACTGCAGCTGAATTTGTCACATTCAAGTCCCACAAGTCCCACAAGTCACAAAGGGGTGGTGTTTAATCCCTAAGTGCGTGGATGTTCTGGGCACTAGACACCCCTTTGTGACTCCTGGTCCACTTTTTTGGGGTCTTTTCCCGCAGTGTGAATTCATAATTGCTACCACTTTGGCCCTTCCTGCTTGTTCCCTACTATACCCTTTGATTTTTGGTGTGGCTCGTTCAGAGTGTCCCTCACTCTTTTGACCGTGTCCGTCGCATTTGGCATGCAAAGTTCGTCGTTGAACACGATCGACATCGTCTATAGTGGCGGGGCACCCGTTCGATCGACATCGTCGGCACCCGTGGTTCGTCTACGGCACCCGGCTGGGGCGCTTGCGTCTGGTCAAGATGCGTCCTCAGCTGAAGGGCTCGAAGACGGCGAATGAAAGGTTGGGGAAACGGATGACCTGGTCCACACGCAACATGGCACCTCTCTCCATCTTTCCACCGTGACCCCGTATGAAACACTTCATCCTTTGACCACCATGTGCCCAGTTCTTTGACCACCTGCGAGTTCCTGCCTGCGTTTGTGTGCAGTCCAGGAGCCCTTTCGCTTTCTTCCGCTGCTGGGTGTAGAGGAATGTTTGAGGGACGTCCTCACTGACTACCTTGGTGAGGATTTTGAGCCGCCTAGACTTGATCGGCGAAGAACTTCGGGGCAACGTTCATTTTTGAGGAGTATACGGCAGGAGTAGGAGTAGGAGCCGGAGTAGTAGTAGTAGTAGTAGTAGTAGTAGCAGTAGCAGTAGCAGTAGCAGTAGCAGTAGTAAAGTTATGCATGCCATAGTCCTCGGCGATTTGGGTGATCATTTTGGGCATGATGCAAGTCATGAGTCAACACTTTTGTGGACTCATGAAGAAATGGTTCCTCGCGGTTCCGTGCGGCTCACGTCACGATTTGGCACACGTTCTGGCTCTCAGCCCCACCCATCCTGACCGGAAAGGGGGGAGTCCATGGCACCTGGCTCTCAGTCTATCGATCGAGGCCGTAGGATGTAACAGTTTTTACCTGAGGAATCTTGATGGTTGTGTGCCTTTTTTCATGTTCACAGTCGGACCTCGAGGTTGGAAAGTGCCATGGTGGTGCAGGTGGATGGTGGCGCTGGTCGTCAGAACGCCCATTTGGACACCGAAGATGCGGGAAGCGTCTCGGTGCATGTGCCCTTACAGCCCTTGCATGAAGGCGAGGTAACCTGTCGCGCCAGGACCAGAACCAGCAGAACCAGGACCATTTGTACAGGGGTTGTTAAGACTGATTTTTTGCTGAAGACTCCGGTGTGGTTTTTCATTTGTTTTTTTTTTTTTATTTTGTGTGTTGCTGTTAATTAAGATGCTGTTTTAGTCTGAGAGTCTTAACTGTTTCTTTACCTGTTCTTTTTTGAAGTCCTGTTCTTTCTTGTCTTGGACCCTTTTCCTTTAGTGGACCTTTCGATATCTTTATCCTGCAACACGGCGCGCACACAAAAAAAAAACAAAAAACACCCAGCCATCGGAGAACGGGAAGCCCATAGCTTCTCTTGATGGTGTTCAGGTTTGCCCGCTTCTCTCAACCGTCGCAGGCTTTGCTCCGCTCTCCTTTCTAGTGACGACTCATGAAGATCCTTCCATCCTGGCCGCAGCCGCTGCACCGAGATCCAGACGCCGTGACCGCCGAAAGGAGTTGGGCCCAACGTTGGCACACCAGAGGCGACCGTTGTGACGGGAGCAGTTGAACCCCAAAAATGCATTCTTGAAGATGAAAGACGGACAGACTCACAGGCAGAGCAAGCGAGTGAGCGAGCGAGAGAGAGAGAGAGGGTCAGAGAGTGGTGACTCCGACCTTTTTTTTGGAAGGGTTTTTGGCTTTGAACTGGGAAAGCCTAGCGCAAGATTACAATGCATCAGTGCAATAGGATGCAAATGCAAGTGCCAGACACTTTGTTTTTTCAAGTCTTCTACTCCACACCTTCCGGCACATCACTGCCTCAACTATAGACATCAACAACTCCGACATCCAACTGTTGATTGCAGATATTTCTTGGGCTCAAGAGTGTGAAGTCGGGTTCACTCTAAATAGAAGAAGAAGGATTGACTCGTCCGGTTTTAGCGCTTCGCTTGTGGCAGTGCGCGGGAGCGACACGGTCCGCGATGTTTGCACGCTTGCTGCAACTTTTGCCCGTGATCACGTGCGCATGGACCAATCAACAGTGGGCCGTGACGATCAACAAAGCCGGCTTGCAGAGAACCTTGAGCCAACAGATGACCAAAGAGTTCTTGCTCATCTCCCGCGGAAGCAAGGTGACCGAGTATCGGGCAAAATTGCTCGAAAGCATGTCAAGCTTCAACACAACCCTCCATGCCCTCATGGTGGGTGATTCGTCCAATGACATCTTGCCAGCACCAGACCACCGAGTGGCCAGTGCTTTGCAGGAGGTGGAACTTGAGTGGATCCCCATGGAAAAGCTCTTGCGGGAGAACATGGACACCGTGAGAAGTGCCGATGGCTCCTATAATATGCTCGTGCTGGAGGAGCTATCTTCCAGGAGCTAAGTTGGGAGTAAGTTGCAGTGAAGTTGATCCATTTGAGAAGGGCATCCTTTTTCGTCATCAGTACTTATTCGATCTTGTTGCATAGTACTCCTGGGTCTTTTCTGTGCCTGCACAGATGTAGAACAACTCCCCAAAACGGGCTCTTTGTGGCTGTCATCCTTGGAGGGAAACAAGTGACCCAAGACCCAAGCCTATGTCTTCTTCCAAAACCAATTCTTTGGACCTTCTAAGAGTCGCCGCGAGGAACGTCCCTTTGCTGGACACCTCTGATGCCGTGGTGAAGGCTTTGGTGGATGCTGCGCAAGTCTCTGGCCGCTGGGCACTGCAAAGGACAGGTTGGTGTCGGGTGGACTTGTGACAAGTGAGAAGGAAAGATCCAAGCAATGAATCCCAAGATAGATTTCTGACAGATGAAGCGCAATCAGAATCCCAAGCAGACTGGGGCTTCACTTGCACTCATAAAAATCGCTCAGAGAGATCAACCATTGGAGACATGAACCGGGGGATCCTTTTGCTGCTTACTTATTGCACTCGGCAGTCGTCATTCACCGGGACCGACAACCGACCGGTCCGCCCAGATATAACCCCTCCCTCGAAGAAACAAGGAAGTGGACAAAGCCCCTGTGCGTGCACATATAGAGGAACATACCAGCACCCTCCAACAGGTCCCCTCTAGAGCCTAGATGCTTTTGTAGACATAAAAGTTGCATGTGGTGACATGTGAAGTCGGGTCCTGGTAGTGGTAGAGGAACCCATCCATGATTGTTGGAGGGCAGAAACCATGCGGCAGCCGGCCGCATGGGGGCGGACATCCGGATGGTTTCACCGACATGGGCTGATCCACTGGGATGGCACCAGGATTTCTCCAAAGAGTTCCCTGAAGAGTGTGCATTCTCAATCAGCCCGAGAACAGATGAGTGTCATTTTAGCCATGGCTCAGAGGGAAGCATCCTCATCATTTCTCACTGGCTAAATGCAGAGTTGCTGATGAAGAAAGCAAATCTCCAAGGTGCGTCAACAAATGGGCTGGTGCAGGACATTGCTGGGCGGCAGAGGACCCTCATCCAGCGCTTGGCCAAAGGGATTCTCTTTTTGAGCCAAGGTCAGGGCCTAAGGCTTTAAGGGTAACCTCTGCTTGATTCAAGCAAATAGCACCACTACACGGCATTCCGGTTTCTACATCATAAGCAGCAATTGTTGTGGGAAGAGTCGTGAACCCAAGACACCAAAGCCCTTTCCCACGGCTCACTTGACCCCATCAGCATGAGCTTTGTGACTGAACTAAACGAGGGTATCTAAGTACTTAAGGTTCGTGCAGTGTGTGTGTGTGTCCATATTTAAGACTTGGTGCATGAGTTTTTGCATTGCAGAGTCGAGAATTAACCACAAAATACCACAAAGGCGTTACGTATTTCGTCCGGAAAAGATCAAGAAACAAAACACACTACTTAGAAGTTAGAAGCGAATGTTCGCCGCCCTTGGTAGAGCCACTTTGGAGAAATCCTAGACCTAGACGCAGGTGTTTCACTGTGTCGTTTCTTCTCGTGCATGGCGCGATTCCGTCTCACACCAAAGCCAAAGGTGTCTCCATGACCTTCAACATGAAAGCCTACAGCAACACAAAGGTCCTCTTCGAAACCTCCCATGATGGGATCATCCAAGGAGTTCCTTTCGCAGGCCTTCCAGTCTTGAATAAGATGTGCACGCTCCACCAGATGCGCGAGGTCAGCTTCTACTACGAGCAACTTCGGCCGTTGCTCACCGGCATCACCAATGCAGAGACACCCAGCACAAGTCAAAAGGCGGCGGATGTCGTGGCAGAGGAGGTCGTAGAGTTGCTGGATCCGCTCTTTTTGGCCATGGTCGAGGCTGTCACTTGCTCCAGCTGGGTGGGGGTCAAAAGAAGTGGTTTGCTCCAAGCTTAGGATTTGATGCATTTCATATGCATTTCCTATCATTTCATGATCTATGATCCTGTGGAGTTTCTGGGAGCCGACGACCAGATTCCACAAAAGGTTTGAAACCCCCATGTTGTGTGTGAAACCTCCATGATCCTGGCTCCATTCGCAGCGTTCGCGGCGTTCCCAACGTCCACCTGCCTGGGCCCTAGGTAGTGCCCTGGCTCCGAAACCCGGTACCCGCCTTTAGACAAGGACAAAATAGATGACAAAACCACTGATCTTCCAGGCCACTTTTGACCAGTATGACAACGTGTTGCTCCTTTTTTTAGCGGCCCTTGACGACGGCTAAGGTGAAGCTTTTTGGGCAGGATGATGGCAGCTGCAACCCCTCCGCTTCAATGACCCACAGCGAGTGGCATGCCTTTTTCATGACCCTCGCCCAGCAGGAGATCTTGACCAAGACGACCATGCAGTACTTCACGCAGGTCTGGCAGCCGGTGTTGCTTTTGCTTCTTTCGGGTGGCGATTCCCAAACCCCCAGCGGCCCAGGGGCCCATGGTAGGTGATCGAAATCCATCGAAAATCCATCGTTCCATCCTCGAGGTTGGCCTCAAAGTCGATGTCAAGTCCAGCCAGGCGCGATTGGGAAGAGCTGGACGGAGTGGTGACGGAGGATACGGAGGGAAACCAACGGCCAGCGACGACCTAGAACCCACGGCCCACCCACACGACCTCCCATCACCATCTAAGCTACGACGACATACGATGCCACACTGCCACACGATGATGAGTTTTCTAGCGTGGCCAGTAAATCTTGGTGTCTCCCCCAAAGCAACACCCAAGCACAACAGCAGCACAACAATGCAAGACAACATGGAAGAAGCATCGCCTTATTACAGACATGCCAGAAATCCCTTCTTCAGCCTCACCACTTTTTAGTCAAGCGAGGCATGACATGTTTGGCTGGACGCCAGGTGGAAATCACGGTGAGGCTCTCGCAAGCCTCGGGGAACCTGCGGAATCTGATCGAGGGGAACAAGGTCAAGGGGATCCCCGCTCCGCCCTCACAGATGCTCGGATGATCGAGGGGATGGAGGATGCACGAAGGGTCCGAAGGGTGGGTGGGGGGTCAAACCGATCGATATATATATATATATAAATAAGATATACACACACACATATATATATATATACACATACATATTGCGCATATATTTTACCTAGAGACCTTGCTGTGCAGTGAGGGTGGACCTTTCACCTATACCCCCGAAAGGAGAGGAGCGCCTGCGGAATGTCAAGTAGACGTTCGCAGGGGTTCAGATGTTAGAAGTTGTTGGTATATAGGGGCTAGGTTATATCAGCCACTGGCCTCTATAAAGGCCGTTCTGTGACCCCAACACAGATAGAGTCCACTAGCTGAAATAAGGGCTACCGGGGAAGATGACCGGGGGGTGACCGGCGGACTACCCTATTCACCGGGAATGCGCAGATAGTTTGAACTAGTCGTGTGCGTGTGGGTGTGTGTGTGTGTGGTTGTTTATCAACGACATGAAGTTACAACTCTAGTCATTCTTAGTTGCCAATCAAGCAAGTTAATAACACACAAATAATCATAAATCTAGATTTAAACTAAACCAAATACAACTGCATAATTATATCAATATCATTAGATCTATCTTCACTGCCATCCCGCTTTGTGTTCCCAATCGCCCTGGGGCCCAGGGAAATTGTGGATGAGCTCCTCTCCGTGGATGCCACGTGGAAGACCTTCGAGAGCGAGTTGGAGGCCGCAGTTCACCTCGAAAGCGTCTCCTCGGTCACCATGGCCCGAGTGGAGCCGTGGCGGTCACAGTACGCAAACGAAGGGTATTGCGAGTTAGGGTGGATGAGTTTTAGAATTAGTTTTCGCATGTTTTTTTTTTTGGGGGGGGGGCATGGGTTTCCGCTTCACAAACAAGTTGAACAGGTGGAAAATAACAGCATGTGCTTTATTTTTGGCCTTGGAAAATGAAGGAGTCATTCACTACGACCCCGTGATAGTTAAGCCACACCCTTTGGACTGGAACCTCTTAGAAGCGAACAAACACCTACAGACAGCTAAGAGAAAATGCTCCAAACAATCATGACAGACACAACCAGACCCAGGAACCAGAGCCACGTGCGTCTTGAACCCCAGAGGTATATGTTGATATGGTCCTTGACCTTGCCCATCCAAGGACCTTCTGGGCGAGAGGATATTGGAGGTACTTGGAAGGG